TAGTAGTGGAAATGTTGCCATATAAGCTGAATACCTATTTTTTTAAAAAACTTAAATGTCTTCATTTGTTACTTTGCAAATATTTTGGTTAAACAAATATTTCTTGCAAATGTGTGTCAGAATCCTTGCCTATAAACATAGCTTTCTCTCTTTGCAATTGGTTACGCAAATTAAGCTGAGTACCTTTTAAACTAGCATTTTATGTTGCTAGCATTATCTTTCAAAATCTTTCAAAAATCTTTCAGCAATCTTTCAAAAATCATCTGTTAATTTTGTGTAGCTGGGACGCTAAAAAGTAGTGGTGGTTCACCACTCTTAGAAAAAAAGTATATCTCCTACCAAGAACAGAGTCTAAATGATTGGACTATAAATTCAAAACAGTGATTCTCAACTAGGGATGACTTGGGGATATCTTTGGTTGTCCAACTGATAGAGAGAGGGGTTCTATTGGCATCTACTGGGTAGAGCACAGGAATGCTAGTAAACAATATTATACTGTAAGGCACAGGACAGCCCCCACCACAAAGGATTATCTGGTCCCAAATGGGCCAAGGCTGAGAAACCCTGGATTAAAGCAACAGAATAGTTTCATTTACATTATTGAAATTATACAGTTAGAATTATTCAAGTGGTAACAAGTGCCTAAATAATAATGCATTTAATAGATAAATTTATGAGGCTAATGGTCTGGCATATTGAGTATAACAGTACATTTTGGTTAGTTCTAAAATATATTACTTTAAGGCTGGTGTCTAGACTCAAGCCTCAATTAATAGGCAGAGTATGAGATAGTCAAATATTTCAAAAGCCAACACACTTCTTAAAAGTTTCTGCATCCCACACAGAAACTAAGCAATGGCTCAGGACTCAATCCTCTTCTGTTGAGGAGGTGGTCCCCTGGTTACCAGAGTCTTTTCTTTTTAAATTTTTTTTTAATTTTTCAATTATAGTTCAAAAATTATATAGTGACTAGACACTATATAATTTAACGTATGATTCTCCCTGGTAAGCCTAGTACCCACCTGACACCATACATAGTTATGAGAATATTATTGACTATATTCCCTATGCTGTACTTTATATCCTCGTGACTGTTTTTATAACTGGCAATTTGTATATCCTAATCTCTTCCCATTTTCATGCATGCCTTGCCCTCTCTCCCATCTGGCAACCATCAAAATGTTCTCAGTATCTATGAATTCATTTCTGTTCTGTTTATTCATTTAGGGTTTTTTCCCCCATGTATACATGAAATCATATGGTTACTTGTCTTTCTCTGTCTGACTTACTTCACTTAGCATAATGTTCTCTAGGTCCATCCATGTAGTCACAAATGGCAAGAATTCATTCTTTTCGATGGCTGATTAATATTTCATTGTATAAATATACCAGACATCTTCTCTATCCATTCATCTTTTGATTGGAGCATTTAATCCATTTACATTTAAAGTAATTGTTGATAGCTATATAGTTACTGCCATTCTATTATTTATATTTTTTATCTTTTTTCTCCTTAAAGAAGTACCATTAATATTTCCTGTAATACTGGCTTGGTGATCATGAGCTCCTTTAGATTTTTCTGGTATGGAAAGTTCTTTATCTCACCTTCGATTCTAAATGATAGCCTTGGTGGGTAATATCAGTTGCAGGTCCCTGCTTTTCATCACTTTGAATATTTCTTGCCAATCCCTTCTGCCTAGAAGTTTTGTTGAGAAATCAGCTGACAGTGTATGGGAGCTCCCTTGTATATAACTTACTGCTTTTTTCTTGCTGCTTTTAAGATTATCTTTGGCATTTTAATTATGGTGTGTCTTTAATTATGACATGGGCCTCTTTGGATTCACCTTGTTTGGCACTCTCTGTGCTTCCTGGAATTGTATGTCTATTTACTTTGCCAGGTTAGGGAAGTTTCCCATCCATATTTCTTCAAATAGGTTTTGAATTCCTTACTTTCTTTCTTCTCCTTCTGGTACTCCTATGATGCAGGTATTGTTGTGCTTGATGTTGTCTGGAGGTCCCTTAAACTACCCCCTTAAAAAATTTTGTTCTTTTTGTTATTCTGATTGTGTGTTTTCTGCTACCTTGTCTTCTAAATCACTGATTTGACCCTTGGCTTCATCTAAGCTACTTTTGAATCCCTTTGATATATTCTTCATTGCAGTTATTGTATTCTTCATTTCTGACTGGTTCTTTTTTTGGCTTCTATCTCTTTGTTTAAGTTTTAACTGGGCTCATCTGCTCTTCCCTAAGTTCAATATGCATACTTATAACTAGTGTTTTAAACTCTACATCTGGTAGATTCCTTGTCTCCATTTTGTTCAGTTCTTCTTCTTGAGTTTTGTCCTGTGTTTTTCATTTGGGCCATGATTCTTTGTCTTCTCATTTTGGCTGCCTCTCTGTGTATGTTTCTGTGGATTAGGAACATCTGCTATGTCTCCCGGTCTTATCAGAGTGTCCGTGTGTAGCAGGTATCACATGGGGCCTGGTGGCACAGATTTCATGATCACATTTGTGGGGTGCCCCAGGGCTGTCTCTTGTCTGGATTGTGTGTACCTTCCTATTGTATTTGAGCCCCACCCACCCTCCTCTGCCTCCAGCCAGTCCAGGCTTCCTGGTGCGCCTGCAGCCCAAGTACTGCTCGAATCTTCATAAAGTTACCAGTAGAAAAATAAGTAGAGATGCTAAATAGTCAGCCCTGAATATTAGAACTACTTTCTGAAAATTTGACAGTTGGTAGTATGCAAGGCATATTCTGAAATCTCCTGTGGGCATCCACAAGGCCAAACCTAACAGAACATGTCCAACCCTCTCGCAGAACAGACATACTCCAAGGCCAAGAGACACCGCAGTGCCTGAGTGACAGGGATTATTTAGTAATATTTTCCCAGAAAGAGTTTGTTCCATTCCCAGAAATATAGAGCAGAAAATCTATCTAGGTTCTGGCTAAGTGTCTCTAAAATATCACATTGGAACTTGGATATATTAAAATTGTTGAAGTCTATAAAATATAGTATTGAGTTCAGATTGCTCATATTCTACTTACATTGATTGTAGATTATTTTTGCAATTTGAGTCTGTCCCCTCCCTATTCTCTTCAAATCCCACCTTTGGAACATTTTCTAAGGCTCTGAAATTGAGCATAGGTGATAGTTTTCAAAAATTATCTTTGATCTTGACTGTTACTTTCCTTTCATAGTCAGGTGGCATGTTTCATTGGAAAGAGTCTTTCCAGGGATACCAAACACCAGGGTTTTAGTATACAAACTACTATTAACAGATGTGGAACTTTAGATAAATCACTATGAGCCACCATTTTCTCAACTGCAAAATGGGGCTTGGACTAGACCATTTCTAAGGTCTAGTCCACATTTTGACAATGTAGTTTCTTTAACATTTTGACAATATAGTTTCAGTATTTGTCACTAAAACTGTTTTGAGTAGACTTGGAGCAATGCTATAATCTTTTACAAAGTGCAGTTTAAGTGTTATATCATCATGGGCCCTTCAAAGTTACCCCCAAGCACAAACTGAGTTAGGTGGTTTGCAATTTTAGTCCCTGGAGGGTAGAGTGCAGCCTGCTTGGTGTTACACCCATGGAGCTGAGCTGTGCCTCCAGGCTTATTTCTTAACAAGTCCCCCAGGTAAGGAACTCCTTGCCCCTGGCAAACCTATTAACCAGCAGCAAATCACGACTTGGCACGCATGGTCCTGCCTTTAATCATTCTCCTTCTTCTGCCAAGAAGCACTTTCTTTCACCTCCTTGTATACATGGGCAATTTCAATGCATCCTTCAAAACCTGGCCTAAGGTTCTCTTCAACTATAGTTGTATCAAAGCCATATGTTAATATGTCATCAGCTGCTTAAGAGTACCAGCCATGCATTTATGCTTGTTTCTTCCCTTCAGATTTAACTTCCTGCTATTCCCCCTGACCTTCTTTCTATTCTCTGGCAAGTCTCAGAGCTTTTCCTCTGGCTCTTCCTTTTGCCCAGAGATCCCTTCCCTGTCCCCATACCTGCTCTTCATAGGACTGGCTCATTCATCATTCAGTTCTCAGTTCAAATGTCACCTCTTCAGAGAAGCAGTTCTTACTGTCCCAGATCTAAAGTAGTCCCCCACCAACATCCTTCCAATCATTCTTTTATCATCTTGTTTCTCTGCTGAAGCATGTCACCATAGAAATGATGTTTCTTTCCATGTTTGTTCCTCTCCCCAGTTAACCCCTCACTACAACATAGTTCTCTGGCTGGGATGCAGTGACCTTGTCTACTTACTCACTCATGTAGCCCTAGTGCTTACAACAGTGCCAGACTATAGTAAGTATCAATAAATATCTTTGGAATTAATGTATTATATGTAGTGTTTGCAATTACAGGAATGGGTGTAAATAGAATTACTTTATGAGTATAGGTGTCCTGGTGAGCGGAACTAAAAAGATGGGCATCATAATCAACCTCCTCCCTGCTTCCCTCCTGTCTAGCAACTATGCCCTGAATCATTATTTGAATGTTTTTGCCTTTTGTTTTTCACATCTGCCTTTCCATGTCAAGGATGCATTAAGGCCTAATTTTTTCAAGGCTTTTCAGAGCATAGACACTGGAACCAAACTGTGCAGGTTCAGGTCCCAGTTCTCTTTACCTTGGGCAAGTAATTTAACCAACTTCTCTGTGCCTCACATTCTAGATCCATAAAATAAGGCCTACCTGATGAGACTGTAGGCATGGTTACAAGGACATGTGCAAAACACTCAGAACAGTGCCTGGTCATAGGAAGCACAATATATGTGTTAGTCATTAATATTAGTTTTTTCTATCATGTGGAGATAGGACACAATTGACAAATCCAAATAAAAGACAAATGTGATGGGGAAAGTGTGTGAGACATAGAAATGAGAGCATCATCTGCTTTCTGGAATTCAAAACAATATAATTTATTAGTTTCACATTTAGATATTTATAATATACATATATATGAAGTCTGAAAGTTATTTAGAACCCCCTTTTTTGTTGAATGTTATAAATTTTATTTTAAAATTACTTCACAAAACTGATCTCGCATTTTAATATTTTAAAATAAATTCCATTATATCAAAATCTTGAGCATTTAAAAAATTTTGAAAACCATGATTCAGGTCAACAATTTTGTGCTTTGAGATTAGGTGGATAAACATGGTATTATTTATCTATGAAGAATTTACTTTGTTCCCTTCTGGCTTTTTCAAGGTTTTCAAAAGTAATCATTCCTTTGGGCAGCTGTAACTTATCCTTTTCTGTTTCCAGTATATTCTCGGCTTCACCTTAAATGAAGTACAGACATATGCAAGGTGACAAAGGGGTATCAGCATTTTGCGAGAAGACCTACTTACTATGTTCCAGTGATAAGCCATAACACAGTATGGAGGGATGCCTTCAAATCTTACAGTTAAGTCCTAAGTCCATTGTCCTCAGGAGAAGTGACCTCCCAAAGGAAATACAGTGATGAATTCTGAAGACCCATGGAGAGATAAATCATATGCCAGGGATTTAATTTGATATAAGACAACATTTTTAAAATATAGAAGAGAAAGCATACCAAGTAATTCTTTTTTTTCCTTGCAGGAAAGTCAGGATCCTAGGTATTGGTTATGTTTGAAGGGGTTCAAGGTAGACCCCTCCCTATTGCCTCTTACTGTATCATAACTGACTTGACAGAAAATAAAATTTGCTAAAAATTCTAAATTTTTAGGAAAGCTAATCTTTAACCTGAAACTACTTGTAAATACCCAAAATAATAATAAATGTCCTTTAGTTTGTATATGTACATAACACACATCTACACATTTTTATAAAAATTCCTCTTTCAGATAACAATAATTTCTTGGGCCCATTGACATTTGCCAACTTTTAATGTTGAAGGCTAATTATCAAATTCAATAAAAAGTTATAATACACACTGAGATTCTAAAAAACTTTGTGGATGAAGGCAAATTTTTTTTTAAGTTCTCCTCTTTTAGTACACAATTAATTTATACTCCAAATCCAACAGGACAGACTACAATTTTCAAATTATAACAGCATTTCAACCATCTACAAACATTTCTTTCCTCAGGCTTAAACAGTAAGTAAAGATCATTATAACTTGTATATAATTAGGCAGGCCATTGATGTCAGACTAGATGTTCCCATGTGAGAATATCTTGCATATGGCAAATCTCAGTATGTGTTTACAGGATAGCTGATATTAAATTCAGTCAAACAGGGATTGTATATCTTCAAGTCTTCACTAGTTAATAAGGTTAAATGTGATAACCTGAAGTTTCTAATACGGTAAGTTTCCTGGTTGATCCTGAAGATGCATTTCTTTTTATAAAAAATGTCCAAAACATGCCTTGAAAGTTTTAAACTTTATATTCTATAGAATCTGATGGACCTGTAATAAAATTACTTCCAAAATATATAATCAAAATGTTCCCATAAAATAAACTTGTTCTCTATTAGTAATATTGTTCTAAAGAATACTATGTAATAGAGTTGATATATCTTAATATCACATAATTTTTATGAGGCTCCAAGAATGCTAATGTCCATACAAAACAATGTGACATACTTGAACTCAGACTAATGAATCCTTAAGCAGATGAGTAATGTGAAACTGAGCTGGTTATTGAAATGAATTTTAACACTGGTATATCAGTTGTGTACAATTAATTTTCAGCTTCAAATGGGATTATACTCTAAAATTAATGTGTAGATAAGTATTTTAGTACTTAGAATACATTTTCCCACAGTAATAATGCTATACATCAGTTTCTAGGCCATCAACAAAAACTGTTTCATCCACAGTATAGATGAACTATGGTACCAATAATGCCTGATCACAAAGGACACTTTAACATAATATCTATAGTATCTATGTAGAAACATATTTCCATTTTCAAATGGGAATTTTTAAGAACATATAATCCCTCTATTTCCCTAGGCCCAGGAATGAGATGTTCTGCGGCCTGCTCCCAGGCCTGCACCTCCTCCTTTCCCATAACAAACCAGTTCCCACAGAGCTTCAGGGTTAGGCCCGCAGCCCAGGAGAGGGCAGGATGGCAACAATGAAGGCTTGGGAAAGTACTGTTTCAAACATGAACTGGGTTAAAGACTTGAAAAGTGAGGACACAGGGATCCTTATGTGAGTGTAGCTCTCAGAGAAGTGGTGGGAATTTGGGAAACATGAATATCCTCAAGTAACGGGAAACAATCTTCCTGGGACAGGAATGGCTTCTGTGGCAGTAGGGCTATTTGCTAGGGCAGTGAGAGCCAGGGTTCTGTGAGAGCAGCACAGTGCTGGTGAATGTTTAACAACCAGCTCTTTGGGGTTGGAGTAGGGGGTGGGAAGTAAATACATTTATTATAAATGTTGCTTAAATATATGTAGCATACAATTTATAAATAATAAATTATACAAAGCACTATATCATAAATTCCATATAGCAAACTGATTCTCACAGAATTATTTTAAAAGATTTTATTTATTTATTTATTTTTAGACAGAGGGAAAAGGAGGGAGAAAAAAAGGGAGAGAAATATCAATGGGTGAGAGAAACATCGATCAGTTGCCCCTCGCACATCCCCAGATGGGAACCTGGCCTGCAACCTGGCGTGTGCCCTGTCTGGGAATGGAACCAGTGAGCTTTCGGTCTGCAGGCCAGTGCTCGATCTACAGAGCCACCCAGCCAGGGCTCAGAGAAAATTTTCATTGATGAACTCCTGTAGTTATAGCTAACCTATAGTAGCAGCTAATGAATGAGTATGATTCCAATATGAATGATGGTTGGTGTTTTCATTTACATTAATGAGTACAACAAAAGTGAAACAATGACATGTTGGAACTTTATATTTAAGAATGATATGAACACCTTTACTGAATCAGATAACAGTTATTAAATATTGGGAGAATACGTCCTCATTTTTTTATGCTATTCACAATGTAATGGCTATGGACGCAACACACTTTGAAGCATAACTTACATTATTAACATGTCCTTCATCATTGTCTTAAGTCTAGACCATGTGCTGGCAAACTTTCCTAAAGGGCCAGGCAGTAAATATTTCAAGTTTGTGAGGCCTTTCATCTCTGTTGCAATAATTCAGCTCTATCATGGTAATGGGAAAGCAGCCAAAGACAATTCAGAAATGAATGGGTATGTCTAACTTCCAATAAAACTTTATTTTCAAAAATAGGTAGCCAGCCCACAGACAATAGTTTGCCAACTCCTGATCTAAACAATCAACAAAAACCTAAGTCAAGGCTTGATTTGGCATTTGCAGATTTCCATGGTGTAAATAGTCCCATCATGATCAACTTCAGGGTACTAATAGGATGTCTCTGAAGTTGGAGTTGTATCTGTATTTTACTGTATTTGTAGATGGTATCTGCATTTCGATCATACAGATACAATAGATAACTCTTAATAACTTAAGAGTACAGATATATAACCTAAAAATGTAGATCATAACAATAATTAGAAACTGATCAATTCTGAGTACTTTTTACCATTGTTTTTAATATAATTTAGTGTTTATTTTTTGTAATTTATTTCATTGTAAGTTTATATAATTTAATTTTTAACAACAAGGGAGATGGTCTTCAGAATCTTCCAAAGTCAAGGCATCATAAGGAGAGGATCCTTTAACCAGATAATGAATCAGAAATAGAGTCTGGTTTATCAAAGACTTACCTTTCATTCTTTGTAGAAGGGTTCCATAGCCCAAGTCATACTGGTAGGTAAGGACAAAGCTTAATGGAATAATAGGGAAGAGGAAGGCTGGCTTCTTCCTTTTTATTGCTCTGGTTCAAATACAAAGAAGAATAAATGTCAAAACATGATCTGTAAATACATATTTCTATACTTGAAAAAAATGTAATGGCTTTTTGAAAGAATGTCCTTCATTTCAAAAGTTACTTAATTCATTGGCATCTCCTTTGAAAATAGGATCTCCTTACCCATAAGCCCTTACCAGCTCCTGAAGTTCTCCAGGGCATGCAGGGTCTTTGACTTGCTCATCTTTATTTGATGTTGAGACTCAGATTACTCATTTTATAAATAGTTAAGTATTCATAGTCTACCCTTTAGGGATTGTGGAAATAAACTTGTAGAAGCCCCCTTCTATCTCAGTGTCAAGTTAGTTCTCTAACGTATAAAATGGAGAAAAGGGGAGAGGAAACTTAATATACTAAAGGCAAAATTAACCATTGCTACCCTGATTTTACAGAATTACCTCCAAGGACTAAGCTGTAATGCGTCACTTTGTTTACATATACATTATTTGGACTGAAGTCCTATCTTGGACAACTTAATAACAGTATGATAATGACAAAGACAAAAATAAATAAATTATATAAGAAAATTTTAAAGTAAATAACAAACATACCCAGCTGTTAAAGAGATGGCTGCAAAGCCAAAAAATGTTCCAAAGTATTTGAGAAATTCCCGAGACCAAGCAATCTGCATAGCCATTTGTCTTTCTCTCATTTCATTCTGCATCATTAGCTGCCTTTCCAGCTGAGGACAAAATAAAGAAACAGTGTGGTTACCATCTTTTGAATCTGAGCAGTCAATAATCTGTTTTTCCAGTGGATTTTCATTCTTCAATTGCTTTGATTCAATTTTTTTTTGTTTTAAGTCTCAGTACACTTTTACTGAAGTGCCTCTGGAAAGCTGTCCCCAACTGTTACTTTGGCAGTGAAGTCTTCCTGGAATATATATGGAATAGACATGATAATCTTTTTCTGTGTCCTGATGCACTGAACACATGTAGACTGAAGCTTTTATCCAAACCTAATATATATGTTCAGATTTTTATATCACATGTGAGGAAAGATCTGTGTGTCTTTAAATGCAGACACATCTTATTGGCCTTTATTATAATTGGCACTGAAATAATTTTGTCTTCCAAATCCATCCAACTACAGATTGAAATTCATTTGGATTATCAGGTCCAACCACACCATGATAAAATGGTAAATGGTTTTTATTTTGAGACATCAATAGAGATTTTTATTTGACACAGTTTCTTGTTGCCTCAGTCCTTCACCACTTAAGTCAGTCCCTTTCACTACTTGGAGCAGAAGGCAGATGCAGCTCAGAACACAGGAGACTCAGTTTCTGAATGGATTTTTAGAAAATACAAGAGAAGCAACAATATGAAAGCCCAAACCCGTTATTTTGAGAGAGTCAGATTCTTCAGAGAGCAAAGTTGTAATTTTTCATTTTAAAATCATGGTACAGTATAATATTAGCAAAGCAAAGAGGATAGCAAGCACAGAATTCATGATGTAAACCAGAGTGAGGAGAAATAACTAAAAATGTGACTCAGTTTCCCTTCCCTGTCTTCTTTCTACTGTAGGAAAGAACTGGAAGAGGAGAATGAGATTTTCAATGTAAAGATAGGTCTGAGCTCCTTGGCCCCTCTTGGGGGTTGAAGCCCCAGGACATGTGATAGATTGGGGTTTGAGGGCCCCCAGTCTGAGACCCCAAACATTTGTTCGTCCCATCAACACACATGTGGATTTGTCTCCAAGCATCATTTCCTTTTCTTCAGGTTCAAGAACCATCTCTTCTTTTTCATTATCATCAAATGTACCATTCCTAGTTAATTTCATAATAGATAAACCTTGCACTGGAAATAAACAGGTTCTTTAGGAATTAAGATTTGATCATTCTTGTCAAAATAAAACTCTAGTGGAATGTGTTGATCTTTCCTAGATTCTTATGGCTGCCAGCAATCCTTGGAACTCCTTGGCTTGTGACGCATCACTTTAATCTCTGCCTTCATTTTTCACACAGCCTTCTTCTCTTTCTTCTCATGGTCTTCTTCTCTGTATGAATTCTAACCATTTTAATAGACAGTTGTCTATAAACTATAATATAATGCCACCTTCAAAATAAAATACAGCAAATCAAAGTAGCTTGATTGGTTATTTATAATTTAATTAAAGAGTGGTTATATATTGGGTGGGGCAAAAATAGGTATGGTTGTTCTTTTGAAAAAAATACATTAATAAACAATAACATAAGAATAAACTGTTTCAGATACAACTGTAAACCTACTTTTGCCCAACCCTGTATATACCCTTTTTCTAGGAAGGATTGGAGGTGGTTTGAACATAAGGAAACTTCTTTTCATAAAGAAACAGAGTCATTAGTTCTCCTATACTGTGATGAGTGGTGCTGACCGAGTCCACCAAATGGTCCAGGGCCTGTGTCCATTTTCTGTCTCCTCTATCAAGCTGTTGTTTCTCATTCTTAGCAATAAATCTTTCTCTCTGGCTTCCCTTTCTCCTCTCTCTCCCTCTCTTTCTCAATGATCTGTTGTTTTTAATTGTCTAGAGGCAGTGAAAGAACAAACCTTTTTAGAACTGTGTGTAAAATAAAAGTATCTAAGTTCCTAATGAGCACTTGAAAACCAGGGGCTTCCTATGAGTATGGTGCATGCATTTCAGAACATGGTCTTACTATAATTACTTGGTTCTTTTGTCTTTAAGTATTTCTTTTTGCTTTCTCATAATGTTCCTTATAAGAGGTAGTCAATTATATGAGTTTGGTCTAATGAGGTGTCATTATAGTCAAAATAAAATGGAGAGTAATATTGTTTATACCATTTATAATAATAGCCATAAAATTACAAAGTAGTTATTTTCAAAAAATAAGTCAAACAAAAGAGAAGTAAAACAAAATGACAAATGTAAACCCAACTGTCTACAACTATGACCATGTAGAATATTCTTTTAGTTTCCCTTCTATCTTCTTAATGAGTTGTGCTTTTCTTTTTTTTATCTTTTTTTAATTTATTTACTTTTTAAATACATTTGTCTCTGCATCCCCCCCACCTCTTTCCCTTGCCCCCTCTGAGTTGTGCTTTTCTGATCCTACATTTCTATATCTTCATGTAATCCTGAAACCTAAAGGTTGTTATTCAGTAAAAAGTACTTCTGTACTTTCACTTTCATGCTGTTTTGTTATACTCAGAAATATTCTAAATATAATATAATTCCTCAAAAATGCTTTAAAAGGTGGAGAAATCCTAAGCAAGAAACAAGTAAGGAGGACTAAAGGCCATGCTTAGCAAAGACCTTTCCACCTGGTTGACAGGATTTTCTTTTTTTTAACTTGTTTGACAAACTGGTTCTTAAGTTCTTTTGGAGGAGAAAATATGCTACGTGAATGAACCTCAAAAATAATATGCTAAGTAAAAGAAACCAGACACAAAAGACTACATATTGTATAATTCCATTTATGTGAAAAGTCCAAAAAAGGCAAATCTATAGAGACAGAAAGTAGATTAGTGATTTCCTGTGTCTAGGGTTTGGATCAAAGATATATTATAAATCAGCACAAGGGAATTTTGGCAAATGATGGAAATGTTCTTAAACTGGATTATGGTCATGGTTGCACAACTCTATAAATGTACTAAAAGTCATTGAATTGTACCCTTACAATGGGTGGATTTTATCCAATGTAAATTATAACTCAACATAGGTGTTAAAAAAAAATAGAAGTGGGACATAGTACCCTTTCAGCATCAGTCATGATAGGTAAGTAACAGCATGTATTTATTTTAAATCATTAGTTGTCTGAACATACAATAATTCCAGGTCTTTCATGTTGCAGTCTCAATAATTGTTCAAAAACATCTGGACCACTAGGTAAGAAATAATTTTACACAGATGCAAAGACTTTATAAATAATTTTTATAATAAAACATTCCATCTTTATCAAACAGGGAAGAAAAGACTGTTCAGCATTATATTTGTATTCCTTTTATAAATGATAACTTTTAAGCTTCATAGTCCATATTTTTTCTGTTATACTAATATTATACTACCAGAATTTTCCTTGCAATGGCAGGAGGAGGGGAGGATATTGTTTTTTTCTCGGTAAATGTTCCTATTTTCTCTTCAAGCTTTCCTTTCCCTAATGCTAATATTACCCTCCATGGGTATTAGAACTTACTTGCCCTAATGAAGTGCAGTCTACAGCACAGCATATTTTTGGTCAAGAGTATGTATTGAACTGATCTGTCTTCCTTTAAAACATTGTTCAAATGTTAATCCATCATCACTTTTGCAAAGTATTTTTGGAGTCCAGAGATTCTTTTACTTAGAAGAAAATACATTTACATAGTAGCTAAAATCAGAATCCACTTACCATCAGAAACTTAATTTAATGATATAATAATTGTTAATAGGAAGAATTCCTAGGGCAGGTAATCTCTAATTCTAATTAATTTTAGTCAAGCCTTGAAATTAGAAATTTATTATTTAAACCTGATTTTAATATAAAAAGAAAAGTAGATTGTGGAAAGAATTCATTATTTCTTTCCAGTTATCCATTTCTGGGAAATATTGATACTTCCAATTTTCATGTTCACAAGTGATTTCAAAAATAATATATCACCTTTCTTAATGGGCTTCAGCACTCTTGTGATTACAAATATAAGGCCTTCCAAACAATTTTCAGCTCCATTTGGTATTTCTTTGGAGCCCAGAGCTTTGGGACCTTCTTGATTTAAGTAAGTTTGATAAACTTGATAATTAGTGCATCTCTTTTCAGAAACTTCAGGACTTATAGACTCTTTTTTTTTTTTGCTGGAGCACTTTTGGTTTTGTTAGGAGTTTTTGTCTCAATGCAATGGCATTTTCTTTCCTTTTTGAGGCCATAGGCTCTGTTCCTTTAAAAGAACTCCCCTCCCCCTTTTTCCCTCCCCCTCCCCCTCCTCTTTCTCCTCCTCCTTCAAAAGCACTAGCTTGGAACTAGCTTTAGGAGAAGTTTCTCCTATTTTGTGATCTAATGATGGGAATGTTGCTGAGATTCTTTTGAACTTTTTCACATTTAATTTGCTTCTTCGGACTGCGGTTCTTTCATCCAGAAATTTTTCTATTTTTATTTTATGAGGATATTTATGTTTTTCTGCTTTACTTAAATTGGCTTGGACAGAAGAAAACATTTCTCTCTTTTGGGTCCTTTCAAGCCCTTTTGTTCTTAAGTTCTTCATCCAAAATGGCTAACGTTCTGGAAACTCTTCATCTTCATGCAGTTATCAACCCCGCTTTGCATCTTCATCAAGTCACTGTTGCTTGGTGATGGCTTCTACATTTTGCAAAAGCTCTTTTCTTTTGCTTGCCACCACCTTATCTGATCTTTGGACACTTTTATTTCCAAAATAATCAAGCACTGATGTGGGGGCAAATTTTATTGGTGATAAAGACTTATTCTTAGTCTTAGTGTTTTCTTCATTGTTTTTCATATTTGATGCTCCAAGATGATTATTTTAGATCCTCCATTGTCTTTTGATTTAGAGGCTGCTTTCTTACATATAAAGTCATCTTCCTGATCTGTTTCTGAAATGTAATAGGATACTACCATAGAATTTTACCAGATTTAGGAGACAATGGCAGTTTTTCTGGTAACTTTTTGTCATTTTTTTTACCTGCACTGTCTCCTGATTCTGAATCATAGATGATCCTCTTTTTCTTGTTCAGTTGCTTCTGCTTAGACTTATC